CCTTTTAGGCTCCGTTTGAAAAGCAGGAAAATATTTTCTGAAAAATAATTCATTCTTTTTAAAATATTTTCCTTTCCGGTGTTTGGCTATACAATGTAAAATTGACCGTGTGTCTATGTGTGTTTGGTTTATTTTCTAGAGAATGAGCAAGAAAATGAAAAGAATATAATACTTCAAAATTTTAATTGCTTGAAATTTTTGATAAAATCATTCTGAGAATAGCACTCATAAACCTCGTGGATAATTTTGAATGTATATATATATATATATATATATATATATATATATATATATATATATATATATAATAATTATAAATTAAAGATTTTTTTTGGATGTAGTTGACCAAGATTTTTATTGTTTGATTTGGCCATATCTAATTAGGCATTGATAAATATAATAACTTATAAACTTAAAAGAAAAAAAATGAAGAACAAAAATTACTATTTTTTGGGTTGTGGGCCGTGCTAAGACTTTTATTGTTGAATCCGGATCAACCCATTTCATATTCAGTAGTGTTATAACTTAGGGTGTGTTTGGTTCGCACATAGGAATTGGAATCGGAATGGGTATCAAATATTTGGTAATGGTAATGGGTTTTGGTGAAAGTATTTAACATGTTTGGTAGCGCAAATTATGCCATGGAATCGTGTTCACCGAGAATGGTGAACACAAGGCAAAACGACGTCGTTTTTAGGCAAAAAAAAAAAATTGCGGATGTGGAGTTAACGGCGCGCGTTTGATCAAATTATGAATTTTCTGTTATGAATAATCGCATAACAGAAAATTCATAATCTCACAACTGAAAATTCATAATCTCATAACAGAAAATTCATAATCTTATAACAGAAAATTCATAATCTCATGGTTCCAAAGTGAATGTGTAGGCATGGTTCCAAAGTGAATGCGCAGGCATGGATTCATAATTTATGAATGTCCGTGATTTCGGACGGGAATATGTAGGCATGGTTCCAAAGTGAATGTGCAGGCATGAATTCATAATTTATGAATGTCCGAAATTATGAATGTAATGAAAATTCATAATCTCATAACAGAAAATTCATAATCTCATAACTGAAAATTCATAATCTCATAACAGAAAATTCATAATCTTATAACAGAAAATTCATAATCTCATGGTTCCAAAGTGAATGTGTAGGCATGGTTCCAAAGTGAATGTGCAGGCATGGATTCATAATTTATGAATGTCCGTGATTTCGGACGGGAATGTGTAGGCATGGTTCCAAAGTGAATGTGCAGGCATGAATTCATAATTTATGAATGTCCGAAATCTTTGTTCACCTCAAATTAAAGTGAAACCGCAAAATGTGAAAATAAAGAAGAAAAGTCACGCAATTAATTAAGAAGAAAAAAAAAAAAAAAAAAAAGATAACGGTGTACTAACACCGTTGGAACCGTGTTCACCATGAATGGTGAACACGGTTCCATGGCATAACGTCCCGTTTGGTAGTAGGGTGGAATGGGAATGGTTACTAATAGTAGTGCTTGAGAATGAATAAGGGGAATGAAACCCTTATTGTATTTGGGTATGGGTTTTTCAATTGATGGGGTATTCGAAATCCATAGTAGTGTTCTAAAAATCTATCAACCAAATAACAACAATCACTTTCATACCCATTCCTATGTGCAAAACCCACCAACCAAACACACCCTTAGTCCATAATGACAACATTTCACCTCGCGGAACATGTTAATGAACATTAAGCTTTGAATTTTTAATAATACTAGTTTATGAACATTAAAATTTAAGTTTATGAACATATAGCGTATAGTTTTTGAACATATGTAATTAAGGCAGCATGTGATGAACATATAGTAAAGTGAATGTTACTATGTCTAAATTTATGAACATTAAGCTTTGAGTTTATGAACATATAATGTCTAATTTTTGAACATTAATCGTTGAGTTTTTGAACATATACTGTTTAATTTCTGAACATTGATCTTTGAATTTTTGAATATATAAATAAAAAATAAATAAAAACAAAAATTTTGACAAAATTACATCATTTTGGATTGCAGGGTGGACTATAGTTCACGATATAATTTGCGATTTCATATTTTAATTGACCATTGATAAATGTAATAATTTTAAACTAAAATGAAAAAAAAAATTTAATGTTTTGGGCTATTGATCGGGCCAGGCAGGATTTTTATTATTTAGCTCAACTTAATGAAACCCATATTTTAATCAAACTAACCCAATACAATTTAAACAATAACTAGACAAATGACAATCCAACTTGCCGATTGGGTGAGAGAAAGAATGAACCGAGTGGATAAGAATCCGAAAAATGTCTTTCGAGTAAAAATTTCAGAAGACATTTGTTGTCAAAATATGTCATTTTTTTTTTTTGACCAGAATGAATATTTTTCATTGATTTAATTTTTTTTAGCAAACACTGAAAAATACAAAAAATAATTTTCAAAAATTATTTTCTGAATTTCCAAGTGAACTTTAAATCTGAAAATGAAGCTCAACGACATATGAAAAATATTAAGAAGAGCTCGAGCGTTGCAAAAATATCTTCATAAAATGTTACTTTCAAATCAAATAGCACAACTTTATTAAACGAAAAACTATATTTACAATTCAATAAATAATTAAAGAATCATATTTTTAAAAAGTTAAAAGTGTGGGACTATATTTATAACTTAAAATTAATTAGAAAAAAAAAAAAAACGTGATGTTCCCTTTGAGGTATATGTGTTATTGGTTACTGTAACAGCTAATTTTGTAATTGTAATTAGGAATATAGGACTGCGTTGGTTGACCGGTGTCTTTGGTTGTTATTTTCACTTTTGCATTTCCCAATGGTTGTAAGACACATATATTTATTATGTCTATTGAATAAGTGAATTAGGTTCAAAATTTAAGGTGTATTTGACTCGCAGGGAATTAAAATCGGAATAGGAATAAAATATTTAGTAATGATAATAGTTTTTGTTATAGTATTTTATATGTTTGGTAGTAGGATGAAATTATGATGATTACCTATATTAATGTTTGATTGTCTATGACCCAATAATGAAAATAAATATAAAAAAAAAAAATCAAGGCAATTGATACTAATAATTTAATATAATGACATCCAAAGCATCCGAACAAAAAAATAAATAAAAACAAAAATCTAAAGGTACTAATCCAAACTTAAAAATTAGATTACCAATAAGATGAAATGATACCATTTTTAAAAAATAAGAAATGAGATTTTTAATTGAAGAGATAATCAAATTCTATAATTGTGTTTTTAAAAATTGTCAAACAAACACTAACTATGATTTTGATTCTCATTCCTAGTGTGTAAACCCATGAACCAAATACACCTTTAATGGTATGTATGAGCAGAGTAGTGAATTGTGTGTTAGAAATATGAGTGGATTACCATTGAAAGAAGAGCTTTACGATAAGAATAATACAAAAAAAAAAAAAAGTTAATTCCATTTTTTATCCTATGTTTATAGGTGGTAGCTAGTACGCTTTGTCTTTTTTTTTTTTTTTTTTTTTTTTTCAGAATATCCACTTTTAGTTCTAGTATTATTATGATATGATCATTTTTTACCCTCTATCAACAAAACAGTTTAACTTTTGTAAAATACAAGCGCATTTTGATCTATAATTATGTATTTTTAAAAGAAATAAACATATAAAAAAATATAACAAGTCAACATACTTTGTATAGAAAATATTGAAACGTCCTTGTATTTAACAACATTTCAACGACATTGTTGACTAATGACAAAAAATGATTATACCACAATAATCCTAGGATCAAATGGGGATGCACTGATAAAAAAGGACTAAAAGTAGACTACTAACTATAAATCTAGGACAAAAAATGAAATTAAGTCATACAAAAACTAAAACTGGTATTCTTATATATGCAACAAATAATTGTAGAGAGTGTCATGCATGTACGCATGTCCAATATGATTTATTTGAATTAATTCGTTATAAACATGATGTTTGCCACTAATCGCATGATTTGAAATGAAATTTTGATGTAATTAATTTGTCTTTTTTCTTCAATTTTCTATTAGGAAAATAAAGAGTGGAAACTTCAACTATCTAAAGTATTATTGTTAGGCCCACAAAAATCAAGTTTACAAGAACTTCTTTGTCAAATTGATTGATATAATAAAAGACATTTGAAAAACTCTTACAATTAACACTACAATGTCTATAAATTAATTTTATTAATTGTTTACCATAAATTTATCGACCTTACATAATGTTAGAAGGAAATCTACTTATTATAATGAAGACAGCTAGTCATATATTATTGTGTAAAAAGCTTAGTTAAATATTAAGAGGAGAAAATTAAAAAAAAAAAAAAAAAAAAAAAAAAAAAAAAAGGAGAATGTAGCACCACTCTTTTGATATATACATCCGATGGGGAACAAGTTAATGGAATTTTAATGCAATTCCACCACATAAAAATTCTGTAATTTAGTTTGCACAAGTAGTTCAATTGGTTCCTGAATGAAAGATTGCGGACAAGGACACAAGATCAAATCTTGAGATGCAGGATCAAATATTGAGAATTGGCCGCTTAAGTCACCGTGACTTCTCACTTGCACAAGTTTTGACCAGTCAGGGCGAGAGCACCCATGGGGCGAGAAGTTTTGTCTTTTATGGGCAAAAATAGTGTAATTTATTATTGTGTTACACTTGGATTTCCACACAAAGTGTTTGGTAGGATGTAAATCACTGCGACTTAGGCTTCTACTTTGAGCATAATATGCCCACAATGTTGTTGCTGAAGTTCAAATCTTGGTCTATTCTCTCAAATACTATCTATTGAACCAGCGAGCTAAACTCGTGCGGATAATTTTATAAATAAAAAGAATTGACAACTCAAATCAAAAAATTAAGTTAAATATGTTAATTCCAACCTACACATAGAATAAGAGTCTGACATTAATTAGGCCTACAACTAATTACCAAAAGCAGAAATAATTGAAAAGCAAATTAAAGGCAGCAGTCTTCAAGGCTATTCCCTACATACTCCAAAACATACTTCATTCTATACTCATTATTCACACTTCCCTTAAACCCTGTCTTCCCCAAGAAAGTGAGAGAACTTAAGCTCTGATCTCCATCCATCCATGGCAGCCTTCCAAAACCTCTTCCTCTTCTTTTTGGCTTTCCTATTTTGCCCTCCATGTCTCTCCATCTCCATCCATGATCTTCTAAAGTCAAAGGGGTTGCCAGCAGGTCTGTTCCCAAAGGAAGTGAGCAACTACACTGTATCAGAATCTGGGCTTCTTCAAGTCTTCCTTGATGAGCCTTGTCTCACCAAATTTGACACCATGGCCTTCTATGACAGTGTGGTCACTGCTAATCTCACCCATGGTTGCCTCACTGGCGTTCAGGGCTTCTCCCAGGAAGAGCTCTTTGTTTGGCTCCCTGTCAAAGACATCATCGTTGATGACCCTTCTTCTGGCCTCATTCTCATTGATATTGGCTTGGCTCACAAACAGCTCTCCCTTTCCCTCTTTGAAGACCCCCCAGACTGCAAAAAAGATGGTATATATGTTTCTACAATTTCCTTTTTTTCTCTTTTTCTGTGCCCTGCTTGATGATTTTGAGTCAAAACTACCTTTATGATGCAAAAAGAGAATAAATCTGCAATCCAACTACCATCTTAGACTTTTAGTTGAGATAAAACACGTACTTCAGTTTGATATTTGGTTCGAATTTCAGGTAAATATGCAATCTAACTATCTGCTTAGTCTTTTAGTTAAGATGGAACACGTACTTCAATAATTTTACATAAATGTGCAATCCAACTATCTGCTTAGATTTTTAGTTAAGATGAAACACATACTTCAGTCTGGTATTTGGTTTGAATTTCACATAAATTAAATGTGCAACTCAATTGTCAGCTTAAACTTTTAGTTGAGCTAAAACACATGTTTTAATTTGGTATCAGATCAGACCAGAGGAGCAAGCTAAGTAAAATTTTTAATTTGTTTTTGTTGAATATGCAGCAGGGGGTTTGGGGTTGAAGAAGAAAAGCAGGAAGGCGGAGAAGGGATTATTTGAAGCTCAAAGATAGAAAAGATGCTTACTTCTTCTGTATGTATTGTGTTGCTGTTTCAGTAGAATAAAATCAAAAACACAAACAGTAGCATTATTGTATGTATTATTGTGTAAAATATATATGTTAGGAATCTCTTCTTCTCGGCCTATTACATCAACGCTAATCTTCTAACTTTTCCTTCTTTTGTCTTCTTCTTCGTGTCAATCCCCCCTTTGGTATATTCTCTAATTCTGGTTATAAACTTCTTGTAATATTCTCAGATAATTCAATCTTAGCAAATTCGCATCTTTATTTATTTTTCAAATTTCACAGAAAATAATAAAAATTAAACCATTGGTTTTATAGACTGTACTTTAAACTCAGGTGATAAATGATAAGACTCAATGTATTATTGTTTTGAGTTAATTCCAGCAATGATCCTCCGACTATATTGATTTTCTAAAATTAGTCCTTGACTTTTAATTTGGACACTTTAGGTCCCTTGACTTTCAATTTCTTTCCAATTGAGGTCCTTTCATCAGAATACGGTTAATTGAATTTTAAATGAAGGGGTAAACTCATCATTTCACCTGCCTATGTATTATTCTTAGTATTTCTCCATTGTATACGCGATATATATGAAGATAATCTTAGTCGAAACCCTAAAATGTTCCTCGTCGTTCCCCATTTGCTGACTACTCGTGTGTACGTTCCTCTATTATTGAGATGTTTACAAGGTATAACAGCGAAATACGAAGGGAGAAATACGAAGAATAATACATAGGTAGGTGAAAGGACGAGTTTACCCCTTCATTTAAAGTCTAATGAACCGTATTCTAACGAAAGGACCTCAATTGGAAAGAAATTGAAAGTCAAGGGACCTAAAATGTCCAAATTAAAAGCCGGGGACTAATTTTGGAAAATCACTATAGTCGGAGGACCATTGCTGGAATTAACTCTATTGTTTTTGATAAATAAAAATATTATAAAAGTTGGTTGTCACACTTATTTTTTTAATATTATATCAACCAAATTATCTTAATTCACGGATCAATTTACTATTAATAATGGTAGTAGCCAAGTACGTTGTGTTCAGATGACATGTAACGATTTTTTTATAGGGAAGTCATGAGACCGAGCCTCAGTGGAAGTAGTGTTGACTCTTTGTGCTTCAATAAATTGAGAAAAAAAAAACTATTAATAACAGTAGTGATTTGTACTTATATAGAGTTTGGAGGTGGGAAATTTCATAGGATGCCCTATTGGCAACGCGGTAATGTGGGGCAACGCCCGTGCACGCCGTGTCTAGGTAGGGCTAAGTGCTTTTATGGCTTCTTCTTTTTTGTCACTGCTACATCTTGCTGGTCTAGTTATCATCAAGGCGTACCACTCTTCATTCTTTGAGATTGTAATTGATTTGAATTGTACTTTTACTCCATTCATTTACTACAATACTTAATATTAGAGTTTAGATTTAGCAGCTCGTACGGGCTAACTCACTGGTTCTGTGCCCGTGTCAAATTGAGACTCTGCTACTAATTATATTTTTACGTAATGGTAAATATTTGAACATTATAGTATTAAGTTGTACGAATTTTTATTTGACATGGCACATTACGATTTATTAATTGTCCAATCAAGAGGTAAGGTCAGTGATTTGATTAATAGTAAGTCAAATAGGTCATCACAATTTATAATAATGTTATATGGAATTTTATCGTCGAAAGTAAGTCTGATATTTTTTTATGTCCATCATGATAAAATCAATATAATGGTAGGCAATACATGTGGCTACCTTATGTCCTTATGTCAAGAAGGTGTTGGGATGGTAGGTGCCCTATCAAAAATTGTTCTATTCTAGTGCCTTTACAAAGATTTTTTTTTTTTTTTTTTTAAAGGTGGAACTAATTGAATGTAAAATTAAAATAGATTTTTTATTAGTGAATCTAGAATGGGAATAAGAACAAGAATAAAATGACTAAAAAAGGTTGGAGGACATATAGTGATATAGGCATGCCTCCACTAAAAATTGACACTTTGGACATAGATCAAATAAATTAGAAAACAAGAGGGATTTTGGTTTCTTCAAATAATAATTATGGGACATAAACAAAAAGACAACAATGCATGTGTTTTGAAGCAAAGGCACATGATGAAAAACATTATATATGGTTAATCTAAATCCTAAGTCAGTTGTTGAAGAACTACAAAAGGAAGAAGATGCCGAGAAAGGGGAGACAAATCTCATTAGTGAAGGACTAAGGATCTCTCTCTCTCTCTCTCTCTGCCATTCCGATCATCACATTCTCTGCAAATGGAATAGTAACGTTGTTCATCATCTGACAAGTTTGAGGTTTCATCATTTTGAAGGATCCTACAAACATCATTATTATTCATTTGTGGCCTTCCCACCACCATCTATCTATTACAATAATTATCATAATTTTCACATTTCACCTCACATATCTATCTAGCTATTCCTACTTATATTTCTTAGTAGGAGTGTCTACAACTTGGTAAAATTTTGATTAACCAATTGAATCAATAAATTTTGATTAATCGTATTTTAATTAAAATATTTCAGTTCAGTTAATGGTTAAAATTTTGATTAACAATTAATTTGATTCAAAAGTGTAGGCTAATGAAATTAATTGGTCAGTTAAACGAATTGAATTGACTATATGTGTGTCTGTGTACGTGTTATAATTTATAATAATTCATAAACCATACTATTATTAGACTAAATTTTTCAACTTTTATCATTTATACTAGTTTTTTTTTTATGCGCATTGCGCAATTGAGATAATGCCCAATGTTTTTTTTTTTTTTTTAAATAAGTACTATAAAATATATCAATGCAAGATTATATTGGAATTGTTCATGCATAGATAATTGAATGTTGAATTAACGTATTTAAATATGTAATTCTAAGTTTACAAATGCAAGATAATATAATCAAGATTGATTATAATTGTCAATAAAATAATTGTGTGGGTATGGTTGAAACCAAATATGGGAAATAAGGGAGAACAAATAAAAATTAGGGCATAAAATATTAAATATATCCTAATATTGAAGAGCTAACTGTTGACTGCCAAACAAGGACATTGCGAGATAGTTTTCCAATTCAATTTGTTTTGTGATTTGAATATTCTTTTTGTCAATAAATCTCCTAAATAGTTAATATGATTGGCTTAATTATACTTTTTATTTTTATTTTTATAATAATAATAATAATAATAATAATATAATAATAATAATAATTATTATTATTATTATTATTATTATTATTATTATTATTATTATTATTATTATTATTATTATTATTATTATTATTATTATTATTATTATTATTAAGTATATGTATACCTTTAGGTCATTTTACATGTTAATCTAAACGGCTAATTTTTTCAAATATCTTTTTAGCAACCGTTGATATAATTCGCTGGTCAAATCCGCTAACTGCTGATTATCAGACAAGGACATTGCGATGTAGTCCTCACTTCAATTTGTTGTGTGATTTGAATACTCTCTTTGTCAACAAATCCCTCAAGTAGTTAATATGACTGGCTTTATTAATTATGTTTTTTTAATTTTTATTTTTTTCATGGTATTAATAAAATACTTGATAAATAAATATATAGCATTATTTTGTATTATAATTTTGATATTTAATTAAAAAAATAGTGCACTAAAACGATAATAGACAATGTAGTGAATATAATTAATTAATTAATTTGAATGTAAAGAATTTTTACATTGGAGAAAAATAAAGACAATATAACTAATGAAATTATTTCTCTTATTTAATTTATTTATTGATAATGAATATATATATTTTTTTGAATAAAGACATTGTACACACATAATTCTAAATTAAAGAAATGCATTTGTATTATTTTTTGGTATAGCTATTAAATTATTAATTATAATTTAATAAGAGTAAAATAGAGTACTAATTATGCCTACTTTAATTTGACTGGGATGGGGTTCGAACCTGAGACCTTTCTTATTAAAATCAATGAGTAAGTTAACGGTGAACTAACACAAATTAACAGAAAAGATAATATTTAACGGAAAAGTTAACGGATAATCATATTCACTAAGGATAAATTAGAAAATCTCAAGGAAAAATTAAAATCTGATCAATCTGAGCCATTCATTTGATTAAAAAATTTGACCGCCATTTTTTCTACCTATTATAGGCCTAACTCTCTTGGGCTCTTATTAGTATATATATACTAGATATTGATCGTTGTAATAGACTTTTTTTTTTTTCTTGTATGACATTATGAATTTAAAATTTTCATTTACAAATTTTAAAGATTTTTAAATTTGATTAAAATATTTTAGTTTGATTTATTACCCCCATTACATTTATTACTTTCATCACTCTCTTGGGAAGAACTTATATCACTCTTTTTTATCCATCTCTATTTTTCTACTCTGACTCTTATCAACTTATGTGAACGCAACTTGAATATTATTTTTGAAAACAAAAACGAGATAGCATTAATTAAAGTCCAAACTCAAAGCATGAGCAATGGAAGGAAAGGGTACATCAAAACAGTCCATACAGTTAGACATCGACAAGGCTTCCCTAGCTAACCAATAGGCAATCTTGTTCGCATACCGTTTAGCAAACAAAAAGTTTAAGTTAGTATAACTAGAAGTTATATGTATCTAATATCATCAAGAATGAGATCTACGTATGAAGTGGAGTCATGAGAATGAAGAATTCCATTGATTGCATCAACATTGATCTTAACTGTTCTGGGAGGTGGCTTAGACCAACCAGTAGTGATTGCATCCGAGGACCTGGAAGTATTGATAGTAACAATATTAACACAATACCCATTCATTTAAGAAATATAATTTGTATATATGAAAATTAATCATAAAATAGAATTGATTATTTTCAATATAACCAAAATAGTTTCAACTTGTGAAAAAATGTAATAGTACTATACAAAGGAGCATTACCGTAGATTGTTAAGATTGAAAATAAAAATCATATTCTAACCATTTTGCATTACAATAAATTAACTCTTCTCGATGACGATTGATGAGTTGATAAAAGTTAACTTATGTTTTATTAAAAATGACAAGTCTATAAATCTATAATGAGCTTACTAATATTGTCAAAGCTATAGTGTATAAATTCACATTTTTTCATGTGTATATGATTGAGATCTTGATTGTAATTATATAT